GAGTCGTCATTTTCATGCACTTTGAATTTGCGTTGTATCGTATTTTGAAGGCATTAAACATTCAGAGCGATAAGAGTGTTGCGACCAGATTAGACGCTCCTTGTGTTTATTATTATATTTCGAAAACACCACAGTTTTCATGCAGCTCATACCATATTATTTTGTTGTATTAATCCGCCACACCTTAAATGCCGGTCCCTGAAAATATTGTCTGACTTAAACCGGTCCGTGGGGCAAAAAAGGTTGGGGACCCCTGAATTAGAGGAAGGGTTGCGTTCATAAAAACTAGGAGAAGATTCATTCGGCTGTTATTTTGATCTCGGATGGCCACTGAGAGAATTGAGCGTGTGCGGGGCCTCCAGCGAGGCCAAGCAATTGGAATTTGGGTGGGGGGGGGGGCGACTTGGCACTCACCAAATAATAATGACTGAAAATTATACATACAATATATATAGAACTAAAATGTGATCTTTTATGGTGTTTCTTATTTTTATGCTGTGAATTTTGGTTTTAACTGGGCTTTATTTTTGTTTTAATTTTGTACAGCAGCTGTGGTTCCTTTCAAAATAAAGTTAAGTTGAGCCTGCACATGAAATAAGATAATCAAAGTTGCCACGTCCCTCGCTCCCCCCCCCGCCCCCACCCCCCAAACTCCAACCATGTCTTCCTTGTCCCGTTCTGACCCCCGAGAGACGACGAAGTTGGAGGATGTGAAAGGTCTGCGGGGGGTATCGCTCTCGTCTTTCGCTCTTCCCTCCCTCTCCCGCGTCCTGACGTGAGACGCTGAAATCTCATCCAGCCATTCTGCCGGCGCTGATAGTCAGCAGGGAGGGACATGTCATTTCACTCGTGTATGCGAGTGTGTGCGCACAATGACGAGAGCAGAGGGAGGGGGGGGAGGGGGCAGGTGAGAGACAGAGGAGGGGTGACAGGGCTCTGATCTCGCAGATAGGGAGATAGCCACCTGATTCAAATGGCTCGCTTGTTCCCGGCAGTCACTTGATCGGCGTGTGAACTGACTCCTCTCTTATTTACAATCGGATGCTACTCGCTGACCTGCCCAACCCGGTCGGGCCACAACTTCCCTCTTGTGTCGCTCTCCCGTATTCAACACGTCATCACTCCCCCCCACACGCACGTACAGGTGAACTGGGAAACGATAGCTGAGTTGCCGTTGATCGGTCGCGCATATCAATACTGCAATCCGATGAGCCGTTCAAGGAGATCTCAACTCAACTCTGATATACGGCGGTGCCCGGACTTACACGTTGAATTTGTTGCGCGACTGCTCTCGTGACTTAAAACACCCGTGTCTAAAATGCCACTCATCCTTTCCAGCCTCGTCACTAACACGGAGGATAAAGAACATATGCCCGTGAGTACGGCTATAATGTCCGTCTACATGGGTTGCTCCACCATTTGTGTGAACGTTTATGTTTCTTGAATAACACCTTAAACTATCGATGTCATTTGTGAGTCCCATCTATGCCACGTAGCATTGTATGTTAGCATTTAAGCTAGCGGACTTTCCTGAGGCAAAGCTGAAGACTCTTTTTCAGAGAATTTTTCTTCCAAACTGCTACTTGGTTTTCTTTCTTTTTTTTTTTGTTATGATGCCAGATGCACATTTTGATCCATTTTTTTTATTATAATGGCCTACAGTAAGTCATATTTGGACAACAACAAAAAAATCCTTACACATCTCCTCAAGATGGCGGCCACCTCTGCTGAAATTGGCTTCGTTCAACAGATGGTTTAATTCCGCGTCTGAAACGAAACAAGAAATTGCTTCAGATTTCATGTTCCCTTCAAAAAAAAAACGAAAATATTTTAGTCAGGTGATGAGATTTTGGTATACAGGACCAGTCAAACATTTTGGCACACGTTTGCATTGAATAGCATGAGAAAGCGTCTCCAAACTTTTGACCAGTATCGTATATTTAAAAGTGAAATCAGGATAAGAGGGCAAAAAAACAAAAAAAAAAAAAGCAAAAATTGAAGCCACGTGCACGTGGACGAATGGCCAAAATGCACCAATAACTCTGAAAGTTGCGCACAGTTGGCCAAAGACAACGTTTTGGGGAGCAGAGATACATGGCGAATGTAACAATGTCATTTGGACATTTGTGACGATACTTTGTTTGGAGTTTTTCTGTCGAGATTCTTCTCCGAAGTGACAAGGGAAAGCTTCAAGCTTGATTTTAAGGGTGAATGTCTTTCTTTTTTTTTTTTCCCTCCCGATAGAGGTTCTTACTGTGCGCGACGGAGACAAGTTGAGTCTATCCGGCATCTGCCCGGCTGCCAGTCTGTAACTGTCCTGTCTGATTATCTCACCCAGCGCGCCCCGAGGGGACGCCCGGCCTGAAAGAGGCCACTCTTCCACCCAACAACAGCTTCTGTCAGAGAATCGGAGCGAGAGACCTCCGAGTCACACCGGCTCCAGAATAGCTTGATAGCCGCTGACGCAATCAATAGAAATCGACACAAGCTGCTGCCGCGTTTTCATGCGGGACCAAAAAGAATTGCGCCGCATCCACACAAATTGTCAAACTGTCACTGCCATGTTTTTTTTTTCTTTTTTTTTTTCATTTCCTTAACAGAGACTGATGGATTGTCGGCAACGGCGGGAGAGTCTCACAAAAATGTGTACCCGGAGAAAACCCACGTGGGCAGGGGGAGAACATGCAAACGCCACACGGGAAGGCCGGAGCCGGAATGCAACCCTGCATGTCTGCGCCTGTGAGGCTGACGAGCTAACCGATGCCGCCTGAGTGATTGATATGTTACTTTAAAAAAATAAATAAATACAAAAAAACCCCCCAAAAAACAAACTCAGCATAAAGTCAACAGCATGATATGACATCTGACTGCTGATTAAATGTGAGCGCATGCTCTTATCAGCAGTACCTGGTATGCAATTCTATTCACATTAACGTCCTTTTTTTATTTTTAAATGAGCTGAGGTCATGACTTGCATCAAGTGATAAATGAATATTTCAGGGGTAAAGAGGGGGGGGGCAAAACTATGGTTCACAATAAAGGAGAAAAAAAAAAAAGATGTTTCAATTTGCAGGCATGTCATGGGAAGCGTTTGTCCTGTGCCGCTCGCCACCTTACTGAGGTCACCAACGTTCGGGAAACGGACTGCTACTTCTTGAATACTGATTCATGTGAAGGCCTGCCAGTTTGATCCACACTTCTCAAATCATTTACCCCCCCAAAAAAATACTTTTTTTTTTTTTTTTTTTTTTAAGTAGACTATC